AGAGCGCGTGCTCCAGGTCTAGTTATCTCACTCGTAGGTATAGCTCAGGGAATAGAAGGCATCATATCCACACAATACTGTGCACCAAGGTTCACAGCAGTATTGCTAATAAGAATCGAAAAGTTAAAAGAACCCCACATGCTAATCAACCAAAAAATGGAATACCAAATATGGTATATCCATGATAGGGATATTCTTTGGTCCTAAAAGGAAAGTAAGGAAGTGATACATGCAACAACATGGATGAAACTTAAAAACATATACACTAAGTGAAGGCCATGTATTGCATGATTTAATTGACATAAATGACCAGTATAGGCAAATCTATTGAAAAGAAAGAAAAGATCAAACTGGATGTCAGAGAAGAATATGAAACTTGCTTTAATCAGGTTAATCTGAATAATAGAGTAACAAAGGCAAATGAAAGAAATGATGAAGTCAAAGAGCTGAGCAGAAAAATTTTAAAGACAGCTAGAGAAGGCAAAGTAAAATGCTGTAATGAAATGTGCAAAGACCTATAGTTGGAAACCCACAAAGGAAAGACACGCGCAGCACATCTTACACTGAAAAAAATCAACAAAAACCCAAGCTTCACATTGCAATATTGGAAGGGTCTATGGGCAAAATATTCAATAATGCAAAAGCATCAAAAGATGGAAAGAATACATAGAGTCACTGTAAAAATAACTGGTTGATATTCAAATGACCTCAAGATGTAGCATATGAGGAAGAACCAATGGTGCTGAAGGTAGAAGTTCAAGCTGCACTGAAAGCAATCGCCAAAAACAAGCTCCAGGAACTGATGGAAGACCAATTGAAGCATTTCAACAAGCTGATGAAGCGCTGGAAGCACTCACTCATCTATGCCAGAAGATTTGGAAGACAGTTGTTTGGCCAACAGACTAGAAGAGATCCCTATCTGTACCCATTCCAAAGAAAGGTGACCCAGCTGGATGTTCAAATTATAGAGCAGCATCATTGCTATGACATACAAGTAAAACTTTGCAGAAGATCATCGAAAATGGTTGCAGCAGTGCATTGATAGAAAGAAAGCTGCCAAGATATCATGATTGATGTCAGATGGATCTTGGCTGAAAGCAGAGGATAACAGGAAGATATTTATTTGTGTTTTATTGACTATGAAAGTAACTCTACTGTATGGATCATAACAAACGGTGGATGACTTTGAGAAGAATGGAAGTTCTAAAACACTTCATTGAACTCACCGGGACTTGTACATGGGTCAAGAGGCAGTTGTGTAAACAGAACAAGGGCTTATCTCCAAGGGGGAAAGATGGGGCTTTTTACTCACATAAAGAGTTATAGCCTTAGAAGCCCACAGGGGGCAGTTCTACCTTGTTCTCTAGCGTCACTATGAATCGCATGGACTCGATAGCACAGAGCTGGAGTTGAATTTATATGCAGATGGCACAACTCTGCTTGCTGAAAGTGAAGAGGACTTGAAGCACGTGCTGACGAAGATCAAGTACAGTACCCTTCAGTCTGGATTGCAACTCAATGCAATGAAGAGCAAAATTCTCACAGCTGCACCAATAGGTAACATGATGACAAATGGAGAAAAGACTACAGTTGTCATTAAGGGTTTTATCAAGCTCAGATCTACAATCAATGCTCATGAAAGCAGCACTCAAGAGATCAAAAGATGCATCATTGCACTGGGTAAATTTGCTGCATAAGATCTCTTTAAAGTGGTAACAAGGAAGTTGGTGTGAGGTCTAAGGTGTGCCTGACCCAAACCACGGTGTTTTCAATCACTTCACATACATGTGAAAGTTGGACATTGACTAAGGCAGACCAACGAAGAATTGATGCATTTGAATTACAGTGCTGGCAAGGACTATTGAAAGTCCCATGGATTGTCAAAAGAGCAAACAACTCTGTCTCAGAAGAAGTACAGCCAGCCATAGTGCTCCTTAGAGACAGGACACGTGGTCAGGAGAAACCAGTCCCTGGCGAAGGACATCATGCTTGGTAAAGTAGAGGGGCAGCAGAAAAGAGGAAGATTCCCAACAAGATGGATTGATACAGTGGCTACCACGATAAGGTCAAACCTAAGAACAGGTGTGCAAAGCAGGCAGTGTTCACTCTATTGCACATAGGATTGCTGGGGGGGGGACCGACTTAATGGCACCTGACAGCAACAACAGGTGAGTACACAGAGGCAGGAAGTGGCCAGTGCTTCCCAGGGGAGGGTGGGAGAAAGAGGAAAGACTGCTGAAGGATGTGATGTGTCTTTAGGGGACAATGAATAGGTTTTGTAGCTTTCAACATCTCTCTGAATATAGTATAAGAAAAAGCTGTTTGTATGTTTAAAAAGCTGAACTTTATGGCATGTGAATGATGTCTCAATAAATCTGTAATGAAAATAGTGAGGACTAGAATTCATACTACGAGAAAACAAATTAAAGTTCGTGGAGCAACAGAAACTCTAAAAACTGAAGCCATGCCATAAAATATTTTTTAAAGAAGTATTTTAAAAATAATAAGCATTTTTAAAATACAAAGGATGCTGTAATATTTATGAGAATGTTATATTTCTCTAGCAAATTGTAATTGTCCTCCCAGGACTTAGTATGGATTTACACTTATGTGGCCTATAGGAAAATTATAATGAACACAGATATATTTTTGGTTTAGATTAAGAAATCAGAAGACTGGATATGAGTGAAGTGGAAAAATACAGACATATGCCTATATAGATGTAGATTCATATACATACACACACATGCATGAGATGGCTTTAAAAAGCCCATGGAAAATAAAATTAAAAGGCAATGTCAAGAACCTTATGCTCAGTAAACTTAGTCAATCTTATAAAGATAAATATTTAATAACACTATTATTATCAGGAAAAACAAAGAAAAAGAAATGTGGTTTATACACCATAAGATTTGATGAGGAGGAGGAGCAGAGACTGGTGGGAAGAGGAAGAGAGGAAGAATAAGCTATTGGGAAGGGAGGAAGGAAGGATGGTGGGGGAGAGGTGACCACATGTATGGAGTGACGAACAGGATCTTATTGCTTTCCCTTGTTGAGAGGGGCTACGGAACTACATACAGCGTTTCTTTAAAATCCAAAACAAAAATTTAAAAAGCGCTTCAGATTCATTCCTTATCCCTGGGACCTAAGTATTGGTCTGAGGGACTAACGGGCAAAGGGGAGGAAAAAGAAAAACTAAAATGGACTTGGAGTCTTTACTGACAGACAAGTTTGTCAGTTGGGGGGGGGCGGGGGGGGGGCGCGGAAGGGCAATTAAATTTGTCCTTAAACTTTTTAAAGTCCAGTGTGTGTGTGTGTGTGTGTGTGTGTGTGTGTGTAAAGAAAAGAAAATAAAGACTTTCATGCCAAATAATAAGCAAAATAACAATGAAAAGAATGTGCAACAGGCCTATTAAAAGCAGGCAAAATAAAATGTGAAACAATAATCATAGTAATACATCGACTCCAGCAGTCACTTTTCTGTTTACAGCCATTTACCTATTCTAGTCACACTTGCGTGTGGCGTTGGGAAGAAAGCGCGTGCATGTCTGCAGCAGTGGGGAGTCGAGGAAAGCAGCATCGCATCGGAGCAGCAGCAATTCACAGGTAAATGCCTCTCTCCTCACTGGGAAAGTTGAAAGCTCACGAACTGTCCTCCCGCTGGTCCCCATCCCTGGCACGAGTTCTGGTCCGCTGCCGTGAGTTTTTGGAGATGCCAAACTTTTAGCTTTCTGTAGAACTCTTCCCTGCGTGGACGGACTTCAAAGAAAAATTCCACTCTGGGCACCACGCTCCGGTTCAAATTGATTGGGCTTATCATAGTGAAAGATGCTGACCATGCCAGGAATTCCTGAAGTGAAGGGTCTTCGTTCTGCCTCAGCTTAGAAACATGGGTTTGACGAGCGGCTTTACACTTCATTCCACTTGGATAAAGATTAAGGTGACCAGATTTTAACATTGGTAAGGCGGGACACCATTGATAAAACTCATATTCTGGCGAAATAGCCACCTGGGAGCTGAAAACCGTACACCCTAGCTTGTCGTGCATTCTTTCCAAAAATCGGGATTTTTTTTAAAACGCTGCAGGACGTGGGAAAAATTGTTAAAAACCGGGACTGTCCCACCAAAAGCGGGACATCTGGTCACCTTAATAAAGATGACAGTCTTGCCTCCCACATGCGGGGTCCAGAAGATGGAGCAACTAGACAGATGACAATCCCACTCCATCATGAAAGCGGTCCTTCTGTTCTTGAAGGCGAAGGTGCCTGCAGCTCTTGTAGAAAGACAGGCAGACTTGGGCAGTAGGACAGCATGACTCTGGTGTTCTAGAGTGGGGACACGGTGCCCTTTGACCCAGCATAGCGCCCATGTTCCCAGGAGAAGCCCCATCACCCGGAGGTTAGCATTCTCCAGAGGGTTCCGGGAGGAACATCCCCTTTCCTGGCCTGCACTGGTCAGAACCGCCTTCACCTGCCACACGTTCTTGGGAAACACAACTTTTCTTGGAGCCTCACAATGAGACCATTCAATGATCTGAGTAGCCCAGCAGCAAAAATGCCACTTAACCTTGTGTGCATCACAAGTCATCACAGTATCCTTTTTAATGTCAAAGCTGCTAATCTACTTATGTTCTGTGGCTCACACCTTCGATGATGCTAGCTCACCGTAATCATGTCCGTGTGTTCGCTAGTTGACCTGAGCTCCAACAGGGGCTACCGGGACATAACGTAGGACGTGGAGTTCATTCTGATTTTCAAATAAACAATGAGTACTTCTTTTTAAGTGTAAATATATCCCTGCAATGTGTGTATTTACTTAACCCAATCTTCCTAGTTGTGGTCAGCAACATGGTTATCCAAGCTAAATCTCTGGGATTAGAAATGGCACCTGGAGCCATTTGGCTGGCTTGACCCTCATTCCTCTCCTGCGGCCTATGGAATCCTGCTCTGGAATGCAGCCTGTTGGGTAAATGGGGTACCCTTACAATGAAGACCACTCACCTTCTTCAGGGTAACACTCAGGGATCCCATTAGAATCCATGATCTGGTTACCATCTTCATCATGCTGTTCTACAGTGCCAGGGGGGCAGGTGGGCACTGAGGTGGTAGGCTCAGGGGTGGTGGTAGTGGTCTGTGTGGTGGTCCGGATTGTAGTCCGTGGGCGTGTGGTGGGCGTTCGGCGGGTGGTAGTGGTTGTCCGGCGGGTGGCGGTAGCTGTCCGGCGAGTGGAGGTAGCTGTCCTGGGAGTGGAGGTAGTTGTCCGACGAGTGGAGGTGGTTGTGGGTCGTGGGGTTGTAGTGGTGGGCAGAGGAGTAGTGGTGGTGGTGGTGGTGGTAGTGGTGGTGGCAGTGGTGGTGGTGGTGGTGGGTTGCACACTTGTGGTTGGGGCACGGGTGGTTGTTCTGATGACCTCCAAGCCTACCAACGGCTTGCCTCCGAGGCTCAAAATAGGCTTGTCTGGAGCACTGGCCAGGGGTTTGCCATGTCGCCCCTGCCCAAAAAGGGGGAGGCCATCAGGGCTCACCACAGGGGTCCCGTCCAGATCTGAAACAGAGCCAAACAAAACCCATGTAAGCCATCATATAATTAGAGAAATAATAAAAGGAAAAGTGTCTTCTCAAAGCACAAGTGTTATGTTTCAATGAATAGAAGACAAAAGCGTAATTAACGGGCTCTCAGCTGAGGAAGCAGTATCCACTGCTCTCCAGGCATTTCTAGCCTTACGCCATTGTCCATACACTACATTGCCCTGTGTGTAGATGTGAATATGCCATCTGGCTGCCTGTTACCCCAAGAAAGCACGTTGTCTCTAGTTGTAGCGGTGTGGCATGGAGTTAATTCCAAACTCACAGGGGAGGACCGACTGCTCCACAGGGTTTCCTAGCTGCAATCCTCACGGGAGCAGATCACCAGGCCTTTTCTCCTGCCGGTTCAAAGCACCCACCTTCCAGGTCATGGCCAAGTACTTTACCACCGCCCCATCCCAGGAGGCCTAGTCTCAGTCAGGAAACGCGGTTCCTCACATTCCCAGTCTGCTCCGTCTAGGGAGAAGAGCGTTACTGCTAAGCAGAAAAAAATGCTACTTCTAGGGGAAACTTTGTGACTCCAAGTTCCAATTATTAAATGAGGTTTGCAGCTGTTTCTTTTCATTTTAAGTCGAGCCCCATCAGCAAATGAAGGGGCGGCAGGCTTTTCCCCCACGGGCTTTACTCCATCCACGTCACTATGGTGACTCCACTTGGTGGAGACAGCGCTTCCTCAGCCATATTCTTGAGTGCTTTCTGACCTGAGGGGCTCATCTTCTGGCACCATCTCCAACAATATGCTGCATCTGTTCATGAGATTTTCAGTAACTGACAATGTTTCGATGCTATTCGTAGTTTTTAGCAACTAATTCCTTGGTCCACTTCAGAGGATTCTGTCTGTTCTGAGTCTGGAAGCTCTGCTGAAACCTGTTCACTTTGGGTGGCCCTGCTGGTCTGTGAAATACACCAGCAGAGCCGTGGCATAGCTCTCAGCATCACAGTGATCCACAAACCACCACAGTAGGCCAAACTGACAGACAAGTTGCAACAAGTGCCATTCACTCAAAAACTCAATTGACATCACTTGATTCTGACTCACAGCAACTCTAAAGGGCAGAGTAGAATTGGCCTTGTGGATTTCTGAGGCCATTCCTCATTGTGGGACTAGAAAGCCTCATCTTTCTCCCATGGGGTGGCTGGTGGCTTTGAACTGCTGAACTTGCAGTTAGCAGCCTAACACATAACCCACTATGGTACCAGGGCTCCTCTACCAGGTGTCCCAAAGTACTATTATTCTTTGCATTTCCCCCCAATCATTTAAAGCTGTGGAGACAATTCTTAACTTAGGAGCCATCCAGAGACCCCAGGCAGGATGTGCCCAGCAACCTGTAGTTTGCTGTAGACATCTCGATTTTAAGAACATAAGAGAAAATCACATTTTAAGAGGGTGTGGTCTGTACAAGAATATTTCTAGAGTTGCACCAGGACAAGTATTCAGCCTGCCTCTCTTGAGGTACTCCTTTCTGTAGAACAAAAGTAAGATGACCAAGCCAGCCAATGTAAAGAGGAAAGGGGGGCGAGGGGAGAAAGGGGAAGAAGAGGTGAAGGAAGAGAAAGAGGAGGAGAAGGAAGAGAGGGAGCCAGAGGAATCGGAGGAGGCAAAAGAGGAGGAGAAAAGGAAGAAGAGGGTTTAAAGGAGGAAGAAGAACTTAAAAGGGAGGAAGAGGGAAGGAGAGGAGGAGAAGGAAGAGGAGAAAGGGCAGGAGGAGAAAGGGGAGGAGGAGAAAAGGGGAACAAAAGGGAGAGAAAGAGTAAGAGAAGACACTTTTCACCTTAAACTAGTTATTTTAAAAACCTTTAAAAGGGGGAATGGATCACAGGGAGCTACATATAACCTCCTCTCTGGGGGATGGGCAGCAGAGGGGTGGGTGAAGGGAGATGCCGGATAGTGTAATATAAGATACAATAATAATTTATAAATTATCAAGGGTGCATGGGGGAGAGGGGAGGAGGAAGGGAAGGAGAGGGGGGGGGGAAAGAAAAATGAGCTGATTCCGGGAACCCAAGAGGAAAGCGAATTTTGGGAATAATGAGGGCAACAAATACATAGATGTGCTTTACACAATTGATCTATGTATTGTGATGAATTGTATGAGCCCCAATAAATTGATTTTTAAAATAATAAATAAATAAGTAGATAGATTTTTTAAAAGACTCTTTTCTTCCTAAAAATCATTCTGACTTACCCACAATAGTCCTCCCGTCTCCTCCTAGTTTGACCCGTAGAGGATTGCCATTCGAGTCTTGGAGGTGCCTTCCTTCTGCGTTCAGCACTAACCCACGAGCCAGATCCACGACCTAGATCCATGATGGACATCAGAGAGCAGCTGGGCATTTCCAAACAGCCACTGCTAACCCAATTACATGCGGCTATGTATGAAACTTCCACAGAAAGAATGTGTGTCCCGGTCACTCAACATGCTTATAAAGAATAGAGTGCAAAACACTCTTACTACATAGTATATACTTCCTTGACCACAAAACATGCCGATTGTTGTAAGTTCTCAACTATGCTTGCCATTTAGGGAATTGTGTCTCATACCACAACGTAGAAAATGGCCTAGCAACTGAGGGAACACTCTAAATAAAGTATGGTACATCTATGAAACAGAATAATATGCAGTCAAGAAAAGGGGTGGTGTCTCCATTTATATTGGCACATATGGGCATGGGTGAAGAGGAAACTCGGATTATAGGAATGAGATTTTTCAAAACTAAAACATACTTAGTGTGTAAATAAACTTAAAACTTCAACTAAAAAAAAAAAGCCTGGAAAGACAGACCCTGAATTACTAATAGTAGTTAACGCTGAGAAGCGGTTTGGGGTGAAGATATTTTTCCCCCTATATATTTCCCCCCTCTGAATTGCTTTAATTGATTTCTATGAACATGTATTGCTGCTGAATTAAAAATATGGAATGCCTCCATTTTGCTATGAAGGATAAAACTCAAAGCAGCTGTAGCAGAAACATTTGATTTGTTACTAGATTACCTAATATAGCACGTGTACAATAATTAATATTTTAACCTATTATTGTTTCTGGTAAGACACAATCTCATGCTCTACACTGTTGGCTCTCAAAGCATGGCCCCTGGAGTAGGAGCTTCGGTGTCCCCTGGGAACTTGTCAGGCCCTTCCTACAGCCTGGGCCGGAGAAGCCCCTCACTCCTTAGGTCGATAGTTGACAACATTTGAGAACCAGTGCTTGGCATCTACAGGCCAGCTGAGCACCTACAGGTCATCTGGGACCCTCTGCAAGGAGGCCACTTTGCTAAGGGCTGTTTCGCTGATGAAATGTGATGTCTTTCTATACACCATATCCATTCAAGACTGGCTGCTATGATGTGTCCACCTTTGTCTGCAATCTCCCTATTTAAGATACCTGACCCTTTTCAAAATATGTATCTTAAAGGTCATTTTCCAATTACCAATGGCTGAAATTTTCAGGGAGTCCTTTAACAAACTTTCCTAAACCATATCCCTACAAATGAGAAGTTTTGACTGAAAATTCTAATTAATCTCTATGTTTTTTGTTTTGACTCTTTGAGAAAGCTATTCAAATAAAAGAGGCTAAGGATTTCTGAGAACAGAAAGGAATGCTATGCCAGGATCTTCACATACGAGTGGTTACAACTGAAGGTGGGAAGAGACAGGTCACTTTACTGAGTGGCATGCTGTGTCCCACAGCATCAATCCAATGACTTTGAAAATAGAAAGAAGTTTACCCTACCCACGTCGTTCCTTGAGGACCATTGATAATTCTTTGTCCACTTTGTCTTCCATTACTCCCAGGAAGAACATTCCCATCTAGGTTTGGTCTGCCGTTATAACCTACACAGCACAAAAACATAAAATAAAATAACAGAGTCTGGTGAATTCAGCAATCCTGGGAAGCTGGCTTCGTACACAAACACAATTCGTAACACATTATGCACATTATTTCAAATGTGCTTTGAAATAAAGAGAGCTTTAAACCAACAGTTTGCATCTATTGGGTAATCCAAACTCACCGCCATGGAGTTGATGCTGACTCGTAGTGACCCCACAGGACAGGTAGAACTGCCTCTCTGAGTTCACAAGATTCTGGGAGTAGAAAGCCCTGTCTTTCTCCGTTAGAGCAGCTGACCTCAGGTCAGCAGCTCCGTCCCTAACCACTAGACAACCAGCGCTCTTACACTTGGGCATGACTGTCATAATTGGAGATTTCTACAAGGCACGCCAGAATGTCTACTGTGAGTCTCATGGAGTCCCAGCGGGTGATGAAGCTGAGACAAGGTGAGCGGTCAGCGTTTCTAGATAAAGCTGAAGGCATTGGCTTCATGTGAGCCAGTTGGAAGCTGGAGGGAAGGCTGGAAGCAGGGAAGCAGCGCTCCCTGAAGTGTGCTGGCTCCCTAAAGTGTGCTTTCCGGCTCTTCTCTGCAGATGACATGAAACATGACAACTGCTCCCAGCTACCTCGCCTCACCGCCACCAGTCATCATGTGCACATGCACACTACTATCCCCAAAACAGCCTCTGTGTGGCTGCTTGGAAAGTATTTGCTAAGGAGAAACAGTTTGCTACCACTAACCTAAAGGTGGGCAGTGTGAACCCACCTCAAGGTGCCTAGAAGTAGGGCCTGGTGATCTTCTGTAAAGATGAGAGCCAAGAAACCCCTATGGAGTTGGAATTGGCTCCACAAAGGTTGTGTGTGGTTGGTAAGACCAAAGAGGGCTGGCCCCCTGCTCTTTCCTCTGCTCAGATTCTGTCTGTCCCCTTCACATGCCTCGCTTTCTGACACCTGTCATTTTTAACCAGCTACAATGGCTGGAGGTTTCACCTGGCGGTCCACTTAGAGAAACCAGCCATTGAAAACCCTGCAGAGCCCTCCCTGTTCTACTCTGACGCCCGTGGCACCTCTGTGAGTCAGATTCAAGGCTATGGCAGCTAGTCCCAAACCCAAACCCCCAAACCAAATCTAGTGCCATGGAGTCAAAACCATTACGGGAGCAGGCAGATTCGCCTTCCTCCCAGGGAGCCACTAGTGAGATTGAACCCCAGACCTTGTGGATCGCAGTCCACCACTACCCCAACAGCACCACCTGGGCTCCTGAACAACCAGTTAATTTGCTTAACTAGTCCATGTTTATGGGGACCTGACCTCCATGCAGGGCACCCATCTGCATGTCTATACATGCAGGCTAAATCTGTATACTATGCAGGCTAACATATAGGAATACACTCACCTGAAGGAGTTTCACTACGCACTAATTACCAGCGAGGAGAGCACGAGGTACATTAACTACATGCAGATGTAATACCCTGGGGTCCCTATCAGATGCTAGTCCACAGCTGCCCACATCCTGCCTGTCCTTTGAAGCCAAAATATAAGACACTCGCCTGCTCGTGATTGCTCTATGCGGCTCTGCCTCCCACGTGTATTTTCTGGTGTTAAGCCGCGTCCTTCGGATGTCAAAGCAGCTCCGACCCAGCGGGAGTGTTTCCCAGGATTTGCTCCATTGAGGGTTTTTCAGAATCATCAAGCACAAGACGGAGCCTGAAGACCTAATCAGTGGCTGCTAAGTCCTCAAGTACACACTGGCGAGTTCCGCAACAACCAAAAATAACGCGAGACGCACGCAGGACTTTGAGTCTGGCTGTGACACATGTTCAGAGATTAAGAACATGTGCTAAGGAGCCCTGTTGGTGTAGTGCTCACCTGCGAACTACAAATTCGTGGAGCCTACTAGCCACTCCTTCGGGGGAAAGAATGGCGATCTGCTATCTTCAACCCCAGAAGCCCAATGGGGTCAAACTGTTCTCTCACATGGGCTCACTATGAACGGGCAGCTGGCCACACAGCATAAGCATCTATTGGGGAATTCAGCGAGGGGTGTGGGGTTCTGGATTGACAAAAAAAACCTCACTGCCATCGAGTCAATGCTGACTCAGAACCACTCCCTGTGGGTTTCCAAGACTGTAACTGCTTACAGAGTAGAAAGGTCCGTCTTGCTCCCTCAGAGCTGCTTGTGGTTCTGAACTGCTGACCTCATGGATTGCAGCCCAATGCTTTACCACTATACCACTAGGGCTCGATTCTGGATTGGACTGTTTGACCTGAAAGTACATAGGAGCCACTGCAGATGGTTGTCTGACCTGGCACAAGCCACCACAATCTCTGCCCTCTGCTCCCCCCCCCCATTTGAAAACTGAGTAAGGAATGCAAACCCCACGAGATGGGTGGTTGTGGTTGTTAAGTGCCGGCAAGTGGGCTCTAGCGGACAATAGCAGCACGGGCAACTGAATAAGCCACCGTCCGCTCCTGCACCATCCTCCATTGTTGTTAGCTTTGAACCCACTGCTGAGGTCACTGTGTCCATCTCCCTCTTTTTCGGTAACATTACCAAGCATGAAACCCCTCAAAGTAGGTGAGAGGGGTCCAAACCAATTTCCTGCCCTCCTGCGGATTGCTACACACACAGCCCCTCCCTATTGGACAGGGTAGAACTGCCCTGTGGCTTTCCGAAACCTTGACTCTTTAGGAGAGTAGAAAACCTCATCGTTCTCCTTTGAAGCAGCCGGTGGTTCAGAACGGCTCACCTCGAGGTTAGCATCCCAATTCGTCACCACTGTGCCACCAGGCTCCTCGGTGAGATAAGAGGATGGAATTAAGGTCATTTGTAAAACTCAGCACAGAGTGTACATCCTCATTAAGAGAAGGAATTCTCCTGTAATGTTCAAACATTAACGACCAAGAAAGCCAAACGCCCCGCCTTAGACTGATAGGGGTCCTTTGGTTACCAAGGCTGAAATCTTTAGGAAAACACCCCCAGTGGTGCAGCTGGCCAGTTCCCCATCGCCCATCTTTCAGGTAGCAGTTGTGTGTCACCCCTGTGCCACCCAAGCTTACAAAGGGCACTACTAAAACGCATGACAAGAAAGGGACAGTCAAGCAGTCACCTTGTCTGGAGGAGGGCCTGATCGGCGCGCGATGCAGAGGGTTCCGGAACCTGGAGTGCATCATCCGCTGCCGCAGAGACAGCATCGGGGTGGGGACCGCGTGTCTGGGTGGTGGCGCGCGTGTCGGGGGCGGTGTGCGTGCGGGGGCGCTGGTCCCAGGACTGGGAGAGCTGCGCGGGGCAGGCCGGGGAGGCGCCGGGGAGGCTTGTGCAGGAGGTCGTCTTCGAAGGGGCGCGTCCTCTTCCTGCCGGGAGCGCCCCCAGGGCGCATGGGAAGAAAGCGCTGGCCTGCGCGGATCCTCAGCGGGCCCCTGGGACCGTGGCTGCCCCGCGGGGACAGCAGAGGGCCGCTTGGAGGCTGAGGCTGGGGCGGTGCCGTCCGGGGAGGCTCGGGGAAGGTCCACCGCCTCCTCGTCCTCCGCGGACGCCAATGACTTCGGGGACGTGGGAAGCGGGGGCTCCGACTTGCCCCCCGCGGGCTGCGCGGTGCGGGTGGGGACGCGGGTGCGCGGGGCCCAGCCTCCGGGGGCTGGGACGCGGCCGCGGGCCTTCTCGTCGGCGTGGCCGGCCCCGGGCTGGAGCTGACGGTGCTTGATCAGGGCAGCATCAGGCTCCTGGGCTGTGGCCGAGCGCGCGGGGGCCCGCACGTCCTGGGCCGCCCCCTCCGAGCTGTCATCCTCGTCCGGGCTGCTCTCGGGCTCTGAGTCCGGGCTCTGCGGGGAGGCTCCCCACCAGGGCTGGCGGACCCTGGGGCGCTGAGGATCAGGGGATGAGGCCCGGGAGTCTGTGGGATGTTTCTGACCGGCTTTGGAGAGCGGGTAACCCTGGTCCTGCTCTTGGTGACCTCGGGGCTGGTATGGGGACCCAGGGCGGGGCGGCCAGGCCTGCTTCTCCGGAGCGGGGGCTCGGGAGCCCAGACCTTGGCCAGATGCTGTCCTTCTGGGGACACTGGGTCGGGGATGGGGTTGTGGCCTCGCCTGAGAGGAGGGCTGGCGGCCTGGCGCCATCGGCTGAGTCCGGGCGACATCGTCGTCCTTAGAGTCGGAGCTCTGCTGAGTCTCTTGTTCTGCGGACGCTGCTGGAGAAGTCCTGGAGGATTGGGGGGTCTCTGAGAGGGGGTCTTTTCGTCGCAGGCTGGGCCCTCTCTGCAGGACCTTCCTGAGGTGGTCCAGTCCCCGGGAAGCAGGCACCTTGGAGGAAGAAGAGGAGGAGGAGGACGAGGAGGAGGAGGAGGAGGAGGGCAGGACGTCATTGACAATGGTGGCAGGCAGCGGCAGTTCATCCTCAGGAGGGCTCTCGCCGTCATCGCCGTGTCCACCTGCGTCAGGCCTGTGGCTGGAGGGGACCTGGGGGGAAACCGTAGTCTTGGGGGCTTGGGTTCCAGAAGGCTGGAACCTCATCCCTCGGCCATTGCCAAACCTGTTCGGATAGCGACCGTTGGCCCCAAAGGGCCTGTTTCTGAACAAATTGAGATGGCCAGAGGCAGGCCGGCTGGCCGGCAGCCGAGCTCGGGGCGCAGGGGCAGGGGCCTCTGTCTGCCTGCCCCTGTATTCTGCGTCTTTGTCGCTGGCGCCATCCGCATGGGAGGTCTGTGCCCTGGAGGAGAGCCGGGTAGAGGCTGGGGAAGGTGGCTCAGGCTGTGATGGTGCGTTCTTGGGGTTGGTGGCCCGCACGAGGTGACCGTCCTTGGGCCCCCTCGAGAGTGGAGCGCTGGCGTGCGGTTCCAGCGGCTGCAGCCTAGGTGAAGCCCCAAGCGGGGACAGTCTGGAGGGTGAGCTTGGAACGCTGGGCTTCTCCTCCGAGCCCCCAGAATGGGGTGCCCTCCTCCCCCAGGGCACCGGGCTTCTCTCGCGTCCAGCGCTGGGCGCTGACTGCCGGCTGGCCGGCGGGGCTGGCCGGGAGTGCGCTGCTGCTCTGGAAGGCAGTTTCTCCAAAGTCTCCGACTTGGGGTGGGGCACACTGGCAGCGCGCCCTTCCCCGTGCTCCCCGTCCCCATCCTCGTCGATGGGGTCATTCTCAAAGCTGTTGGCTGGCAGGTTGGCCGAGGGCTCCCTGGAACTGGGGTGCCTGGAGGCGCCTTGCTTCAGCGGCTCCGTTTCCCCATCCGTGTGGGTGCGCTGGACAGACAAGGTGGACGTGGAGGATGAGGCCGCCGGAGCAGGGCGCGAAACCCGGGAAGAGCCGTGCTTGTCCGTGGCTTCTTGTCGGGAACCCGTTGGCATTTGGGCTCGAGCCGGTGTCCGCCCAGGAAGGAGGGCAGCGGTGAAGGACCTCTGAGAGGGTGGCCTCGCAGTTCGCCTTTGGTCTCGGGTCTCAGAGGCCGACGTGGGGGTTTCTGCACGCGGCTCGGGCTCCTCCTCGGTGACTTCCGTTGACTGAAGGTCCACGTCTTCGGGCTTTGGGGGACGGAGCTGGGGCTTTCTGGGGACCCCACCGTTCACCAGTATCTTGTTCTTCAAGTCGAGAAGCGGGGAAGAAGCAGGCAAATGAGCGTGTCTCGAGGAAGCTGGGAGTTTGGGAAACGATGACACAGGCTTGGGTGTTCCAGGTTGGAAGTCATGTTCCTTGTCTGCTCTCTCTTCGACCTTGGACTCCTGGGCACTGGCTGTAACAGAGGGGAGAGAATGGACCGTCAAGGGCAGCAATCCCAGAGCTCTCTCCCACACCACGTGAACACCTATGATGGCAGTGTGGAAAAGGTTAGACAAGCACTACCCACGGCATCCGGTGGCTTTTCATGCCTGTCAAGGCAGTACACCTTCGTTCCCGAAGAAGCGCAATTTCCGTGAACGTTCTATTAGCTTTGGGGTCTTATTTTTGCTCTAGGTCATCTAGAAGGTCCTAGAAAATGTGTGGGGATGGACCCTCTGGACACTGAAGAAAGCACCAGGGGCAGCTCTGAAGGAATTCTGAAATCGGAGTACTTTGAACTCGATCCTGTGAGTTTCTGAGCACAGAGTTGCCCGTGTGTGGCAAATGAACAACCGCCCATCTTGACGCTGTGGAGAAGAAATGTGGCTATCTGTAGACAGGGTGAAGGATGCACACTCATCGGGGGGGTGCTGTGTCTGCCTTCCAGGTGTTGGGATGAGCCATACTTCTGAGGCATACCCAAGAGTTCTCTGCCCTCCTCACATGTCCCTCCTTGCCTGTTCCCTCTTCCTTAAAACCCCTTTCATCAGGAACCTATTTGCAATCCCACAACGTGCCTTAAAAGAAGACTCCTGGATAGGAAAAAGATTACACGTGCAACATGCCCTACGGTTTCCTTTTCCTTTTAGCGTTTTAACGTTGTACTGTGACTCGGATGAAGGTTGACTGAGCAGATCACCCATTTTTCAGCCAACAATTCAAACACATTCTGCTTTGCCTCGTCCCTTGCAATCCCTTCAATACACCAGCACGACTCCCATTGCCTCACTGTGTTTCCTGTTTCCAAGCCTCCTTTCCTAGCCTGTCTGAACTTTGTGTTTGGGTAACTGCTGCCCTTTGGATCTGAAATGGTTGGTTCTTCTAGGGTATGCATGCCTACCTCAGTAATGAGAGTGCTCCCTTAGGTTGTTGTTGGAAGGTGCCATCAAGTCAGTTCTGACCCCTAGTGACCCCGTACATAACGGAACTGCCTGGTCCTGCACCATCCTCACAACTGTGCCGGTGCTAAAGCCCATTGTTGCTGTCACTGTGTCAACCCATCTCACTGAGGACCTCCCTCACCCTGGCCGCCCTTCTACTGTAATTTTAGCAAAGGAGTGTCCCCTTGTAAGCCTGTCTGTTGTTTGGCTGAAAACTGAGCCATGGGAGTGAGTTCAGTTCCAGGCCTGAAGTATGAGTAAGGGTCATAGTCTCAGAGGTTCCAGCGGCCTCTAGCTGCCCAGTAAGCCTGTTCTCTTTTATGATGTGGGGGTTGTTCCACCCTTCTCTCCCCCTCTCTCCAGGACCTTCTGATGCGATGCCTCTCATTGCAGTTGGTAGAGGCACTCTTTGTAGAGTGGATTGACAGAGGGACAGAGGCCGGAGTGTGAGGGAAGGAAGCTGGAATGGACACAGCAAGGGTGGAATCTAAAAGAAGCAAGGCACATCTGCTTCGCCTGGTTTTATTCTAGGACAAAACGGTGTAACATTGCAGCAGACAATGGGAGAGAGAGAGTAGGCAGTTGTTTGTTGAAAATGTGAAGAGGCAAAAAAGGAAAATGGAGTCTGAAAAGACCCCCTCTCAAAGCCTCCTTTGGGATCATTGTTACCTGGTTTGGTTTTGATACCGATCAGATCAACTGGATGACTGGGAATTCCCCTGGGCAAAGTTGTGAGCCGCGCCACCCCCCCCCCTCCCCAAATGATGGACAGAAAACTCTACATGCTATTCAGGAGTTGAATAGTGAGCATAGTCAGTATGGTAACAACTTAACATGTCACATTCCATTTCTAAAGGTGGCCTGTCCCAGTTGCGATAGACCCAACACCGAGCAGTGGTAACTCTGTCTTTTGCAGGAGACACATTTATAAGTTCATTTAAATATATGTTAAATAAAATAAACACATTTTAGGATCTTTCTAAAATGCATACACAAATCTACGGTCAGTCCATAGGCCAACAGCCCTAAGAAGGAAAACAAAAATGAACCATGGGCCATGGCTTAAAGAAACACAAAGCAAACAGCAGCAATGACCAGAGCGAGGAGGGAGAGCGGGAAACGCAGGATGCTTACTTGTTGGCATGGCGACAATGACGGCTTTGGACTGAGGACCCTGTCCTCTCCTGTTTGAGGCCCGGATTTTGAAAAGATAGCGTTCCCCAGGCTGTAGACCGTCCACCATTGCGGAAGAAGTCTCTCCGGGAAAGGTGAGGGATTTTGCTCCAAATGGTTTGAGAGCCGGGGCGTATGAAAGAATGTATTCTGAAATGATTTGGCAGATGGTTGGAAGGAGGAAACAGCAAACAGCCCTGTGTCCATCAGACAGACTGCATGGGCAGAATGAACCGGAACATGCATTACTGCCATGAATACACCAGCAATGCACATGAAGGCCGCAGTGGCAGCACACAGACACAGCAGGGGAACCCACATTCATTTGGGCGACCAGACTGGCTCTGTGGCGAAAGAGCTGGCATCTCACACTTCGAACAAATGTCACGTATGGAATCTTCATACAATGGACCAAAAATATTTACTCTGTGTGAGCGTGGGTGTGTGTTCATCATAAACACAATTGGCTAATTTGCTGAGATGGAAATGATACATGCTGAGAGCAGAAACTGAAGACAGAGATGTGACAACTGCTCGGAGTCAATGCTGAGTAACTGCTGACATCGTCAACGGACTCCGTGTATTAAGCTCTGGTTGTCTTGGCTGGGAGACATTCTGTAGTAGGTGCATTCTAGACTTGGGAGCTAATTGTACTGTTGTAGGCATTTTTGCAATGTTAACAGGGTATATTCACGGCATTTAAAACTCTGAGGAAATTTTGCTAAGTTAAGTAGTCGCTTTCTGTGATGTCTCAGGTTTCCATCTTTAACTGGCTGCATGTTTAAGCAGAGCTCGTCTGAGGCTTTGAGAACCATGGCGACTTCAGTCTAAGAAACTCGGACAGCTCCACATACGTGGAAGTACTGCCACATAAGAAAGTCATCATTTGAAGCATGGTCTTCACTTTCACATAAAACATTTTTATGCCTACTCTGTTCCCAATGAACTCAAGATTTATAAAACTTACCAGATTCAAATCATTTGGATTGTAGAAAAAGTCGAGTAATTGTCACCCTTCCTAGGGCCTCATAGAAGATTCCCCCCCTTTTCCCTACGTGGCTAACCTTATACACACACACACACATTAATTTTAAAACTTTTAACCAAAAATGCTTTTCCAGCGTTGGTCTGGAAAAGCCCGGCATTCTTTTCTCATTGAAAATGAGCAAACTAGTCATTTGTGGTGGGCAAAAGTAAGAATTAAGAGTATCCACTGTCTACAAAATTTTGCAATTCAGATTTTCTTACAGATTCAATTGATCTGCAAAAAAAAAAAAAAGTTTAACTATGTCACAGCATAGACTTCTGCTGCTCTCTGGATTCTCCATACATAGACATGCCCCGGTACAATTATGAATCTTGAATCCCACAACATAGCTTTGTAAGAACTCGAGATAAGATGTGTGACTTCTTTTGGACATTAAAAATCTGCTCTCTCTTATTATTTCTGCCAGTGCTTAATTGACTAGGGCATGATTTGAACCAAAGAGCTATGAATCCTGATTAGGAGGTACAAGGGGAACAGAAGACAAAGTAAATAAATAAGTGGTGTGGTATTAAAATCACTAAGAAACAAAACATTGTGCTCAGAGTGGATTCCAATTCATAAATAATTATGGAAACAGACTGCCACATATTTCTTCCATGGAATGGCTACTAAGTGCTCACTAATTCCCCCAACCCCCACCCCCAGGTTCCCTGGGTGGTTGGGTTTATTCAGGGGAGGACAATTAATCATATTTATTCTTCCTTGAGGAGGGGATCTTCAACAATACCTAAGGGTGCTGGGAGGGGAAGACGGGGGTCTGGAGAAGAGGAGGAAAGGCCACAGCCAGACAAAATGGCAACACAGGGTCACAGGCACTACGGACATCACAGACACAGCAGAGGGTGCAGGATGGGGCTCCAGGCTGGGCTTCCAACCACCCCAGGGGTGAGAGGGGAGGGAGGGGGAGGGAGAGAGAGGGAGGGACCAGAGTTGGTTTGCCCCAGAGACCTGTTGGCTCTGTCCTCTGATTTCCTAGTTGCCCTGGCACAAAGACGGACAAGGACGTGGATGCTTCTCCCTAGAGACCACTCCTCACCCTCCACCCACACCTGACAGGTGTTCTTAGCTACTCCTGTTCACAGACTTGCTCAGGGGATTACCCCCTAATCTTGACCAGGGGCATCCCTGCTCCCCACAAAACGCAGCCTGCAGCCCCAGAGCAAACACTCTTCTACTGTCCACACCCACTAGTTTTATTTACTTCTTTTAGTATTCAAAATACTATGATTGCTTCTTTAGTGATTTTTATTAGGTGCTCTGGTGGTTAAAAAGCTTGGCTGCGATCTGAAAACTAACAGTGGGAGCTCACGGATCCTGAAATGGGTGAATACAGCCCAGGAGGCCCCCATGGGTGGCAAGAGCTGAGAAGAAGGCCTGCCCCTCCCCAACCCACTCCCAGGTCTCCATCCCTCAAATTAGGAGACTCTGTCTTTGCCATGTGTGTGTGTGTGTGTGTATGTGTGTGTGTGTGTGTGTGTCTGTGTGTGTGTCTGTGTGTGTCTGTGTGCGTGTGTGCATATATACCTGTCTGAGCCCTGTCTTCACTCTTCTTCACCCCATGCATCAGGGGCCTGGTCTTGAGTGGGCCCCTCTCTCAATCCAGCCCCTTCCCCTGCATCCCTCAATTTCTCTCTGAAGTTGGGGGCTCTGGGAGGGACAGACCTCGGTTGTGTGGGGAGGGTGGGTGTGACCTCAAACTCTCCTCTTTCTCCCCCCACCCCCTCCTTTAACTCTGGCCTTGTTTCTTCCAGCAATGCCTCAATAGGGGCGGTCAGGGTAAATTTCAATCCTGAGAGTGGGAGAAAAGCAGACTGGCTGGGGGCTTGGGCAGCAAGGACAGCTTGGGACCCAAGAGTGGTCTTAGACAGAAGTGCTAGAAAGAAGAGTGAGCAGGGCATTCAGATAAACTGCAGACACACTGCAGTCTGAAGACAGGGGGTGGGGTGGGGAAAGCATACTTTGAGAAGGGATAGGCATTTGGGGCTATGGTAAGAATGAGACGTGGCAGATGAGAACATGGTTTAGAAGAAGTCAGAGAGGATGATTCTAGAGGAAGTGGGGCTTGAACCAGCAGTAAGTGAAGCTCCAGAGAAGAGAGGGCTTGGATTCAGACCAGGGTCTATGGAAGGAGTGTTCCTTGAAACATACAGCATTTCTAAAGGATGCAGACCTTGAGCAAGGCAAGTATAATTGAGGACAAGACCACTCACTTGGGGTGAGCTCATGGTCATGGCCCAGATGGACAGGGGCTTAGAGGATGCAATGGAGAAACAATCCCAATGGAGCCCTTTAAAATGCCTCCAAACAGAGTCTAGAAGGTTCTTGAATAGGCTTTTTAAAACTTAAAATGGGGGGAGGGAGGGAAAAAGGGAGTTAATACCAAGGGCTCAAGTAGAAGGTAAATGTTTTGAAAATGATGATGGCAACATATGTACAAATGAGTTTGATATAATTGATGTATGGATTGTTATAAGAGCTGTAAGCGCCCCTAATAAATGATTTATTAATTTTCAGAAAACAGGGGGGGGGAAGATATTGATTCATTTTGAAAAAAACTTAAAATGAAAAAATTTTAAAGCTTTTACATTAAAAAGAAAACAGTTGTGCTTTTATTTAGCATTTTCAACAGACTATCTTTTTCAATTTAACTAGCTATTCTTATTTTATATTTTAATTAAGATACAGTATTTTAAATTTATTTTAAGATGTACTTTCCTTAACTGCCCACTCCCACCCCCACAAAAGGGAGTAAATCCATTCTCTAGCAATTATTACTTGAGTTTTTCAAATCCATTAGGACACTTATGATATCATTAAAGATATTTATGATCTCATGGGAATTTCTGCTAATTCCCATTTTTCCATAATTCTACTGGAACAACAAGACCCAGAACATGAACACAAAAGTATTGTTTGGATGAGTCAAAGTTATGATATCACACCTAGAAAATCAGAAACATCTGTCTACTGGCAGCGCAAGGGATTGCCTGTAGATCAGATGACAAGAGCAGTCATCACCTTCATGACTACCTGGACATTGCTGAGCATGAGCCCACTGCACGAAATAACCTTTCCCTGGGGTTGGCGCCTTCTATACGTATGTTGTATCGCTATTTCTCCCTCTGCCACTGAGTCTGTGGTGAGAAGCACAGGCTTATTAGAGTAATGGTCTGCATCTCTGTTTCTGCTCTGTCACCTCCAGGTCGTTGCATCTTATACTTTCAATAACCAGATACCTACCTTTCACTTTCCCCTCTGTCTCTGGAAGTAGATCCCAAGAAGCAGTGACAGCTGTCAGTTTGCCATTGACTGGCCAGACGTTTAAGTTTTCAGGAGCTGTGGTAGGAGCTACACAAGGACAAAGTGCCAAACAAAATTTAGAAACTGCCCTGAGGAAGTACTCCAAAAGTGACAAATGTCCCCTCAGCACACATCCTTGACCGAAGAATGGCTGTGACCAGTTGTATTGTGCATGAGAGACAAGTCTGTTCTTGCTCTTCCAGGCATAACTCGTAGAGTGGCTTCTATCACTTCTACCCACTCTTCTACGAGTTGAGACCTACCCAGGGACATGCTTTTAGGAATTCAGAATTTCCGTCACTGCTAAGTATTAAGAAGTTCACGAAGAAGATTAAAATCCAATCCCAACTCCATTGTAGTAAAACCTATTAAGATAGCATTTGAAAGAAAATAATTGCATCTTGGATACAGGGCAAAAATCTCCTCCCAGAACTAAACTGAACTGAAGCCTGAGAGGAAAAAATGCTCTAGCACCATGTCTTACCTGAGGGCATCCATGCAGACAAAGGTGATTTATGTAGACCACACACTAGACTTGAATGTGCGCTACAGTCAAAGGACTAAACATGCTAAAGAAAACCTTCAGGGAGAAGAAAACACATGCATCCCAGGAAATAGCTGCCTGGCATCTCTGTGTTCATCCTTGAAAACACCCCCACCTGAGGCTCACATGAGTGGCCAGGCTGGCCTTTGACCCGACTGGCTTCCTAAACCGTCTGTGTCTACGTCTTATTTTAGGAAGAATGCCCACAGATTGAAAAACCCCAAAGGTCATTTTAAATACAGACCAGATTCTGGAGTTCTCTGGAAGACCGAGGTGCTCCATTTGCCATCTCTGTCCCCCTGCGAAATGCGGACTGCGAATTCATACATGGTGTCTGGGGCCAGGTTCTCCACCAGCACGCGCCTGTGGGCCATCTGCTTGTAATCCCAGCGTGCCGACTCGCCCTTCTCTCGGTAGCGCACTGTGTACTGTCTATAAGGAAATGAAATTGGACCTTGTGCCCGGTCAACCAGATTTTCTGGAAATAGACGTTAAATTCCTTGCTGTTTTCCCTTCCTAGAAGTGATGACTGGGGGACTCAAGTAGGGGAAGCAAAGGCTAAACCCTTGGCTCTAAGAATCAACTTCAATTCCAAGCAGGACTGTCTGAAGCAAGTCAGGAAAGCTGAAGCTTAGGATCTTTTCAAGACGAAATGTCTACTACCCCAAAGATGGAGTCCTGATAACAAAAGGACTTGGGAGGACAAGTGTCTTATCCAGGGTGTAAGATGTAGGAGGGTGTGGGTGGTGTGCATGCACTTTAGAGATGAGCAGTTAAAGACTGGAATCACCCAAGGCATCGCACCTATTTAGAAATGAGAGACATAAATACTCATTTTGGCAGAAGCTGACCCAAGCATAGCTTTGCTAGGCTCGGGAGGAAGTGGAACCCATGACTTGGAGCACTTTCTACCATGAACTTGAACAGAATGCATAGCCAATAGAGCTGGAGAGGAGAACTCTTGGAAGGTACTCTATGGTGTAGCTGTCAGAGAGAGCAAGCTTCAGTGTGACCACGCATGGAAATACATCACAGCCCCCCGTAGCCCCAACCTCCCCACCACGTCACGAGTCACAGTGAGGTTTACTGTGCTCCTTTACCCCACAATTGTTTTGCGCGTGTGTGGCTTCTTTGCAACAGAAAGCATTTGATGAGTTCAAAATGTGCTATTCGTTATGACATTGAACAAGGAGGAGAGCTTAGTGGGATAGAAGTCATGCCAATTAACAGTAGTTCTTCTAAGAAAACCTCGAGCCTTCTGTCACTGCCTTCAAGCTGTCGGAAGCCGAAGGTTTACAGGCACGGCTAGGCAGATACTCATTATGATCTTTGGCAATCTTTCAAAAGAAGTGGATGTCTTTTTGAACGAGCAGCTAGTGAAGGAAACTATTGCACAATAAAAAAACACAACCATCATGTATCTCAGCATTCAGTCTATCCATTTTGAAGTCTTTGTCCTTGCTTATTGCAGGCAGGTTCACAAATGACTACATCATAGTACGACCGTCAGACTTCTGATCTTCTCTTGGGATATAAACAAGTTAGTCATTCCACAAGTGAGCCGGTGATGACTCTTTGAGTCTACCATTCATTCCATGGTGTTCACCAGTGGCCTTTATAATGAAAAACTGATTTCTGTCTTAACAGCTGGTTTTCCTTCTCCTGCAATTGCAAACAAATATGTAGACCAGCGTGGTCTAACATCATGGCTTTCGAGATTCTGTTTTGCACCCAAGAGGAAGCCATGAACCAACTGGGTGCTGGATGAAAGATTAAAGTGAAGCACCTATGGTCAAGGAGTCCCTAGGTGATGCAAATGGTCAAGATTCATGTCTGCCCAGAGGCACCTGGGAAGAAAACTCTGACAAACTACCTTGGAGGTGAGGTAGGGGTGGGGAATTAGTCTTTGAAAATCTTTGGAGCATGGCTCTACTCTGAGATTCATGGGGTCACCGAGAGTCTGAGTCAGGCTACCTGGACCTATGAGCAAGGTGTTAGATGTCATCTGCCACTCTACAGCAAAGCCTTCCTATAGTGAGTCTTTCTGGGATAGCAGGAAGAAGAGGGAGATTCTTTCCATGGCCCAGGCATCAACAGAGCTCTCAGGAGACAAAGCAAAACACAAACTAGAGCAAAAAAAGAGATGGAATCTACGAAATTCCCAGACACAAAACTTAGGGCCAGTGAGAACTGAGCCTGCTGTGTGTATAAAAAGCCAGGCTCTAGTTGCGCCTGGTTTGTTGGAAATGTGTGAGCATTTTTAGGATTAACTAGATTGCCAGAAAACAGTCTACCAGGCAGCTCCCAAACAGTCTAGCATTCACATATGTCAGAAAAGCAAATCACTAAGTACAGTGGGTTCTTGTTATTCATGGGTTCTATATTGGCTAATTCACCCATTGTTGTTAACTGCCAACCAGTTGAGCCTGATTCATGGTGACCTTCTTTCTAGACAACAGAAGAAAGCACTGTCCAGTCTGGCACCATCTTCAAGATCATCAGTTTGTTTCAGTCCTACCCCCGCCCCCATGCCCCAGAGTCAACACAAAGTCCTCCACAGTCAGGCATGCATATGGAGTGCAGGCAGAAACCCTATGGTACACAAGGCTGGTTGGGTGCCAGAGAGCGCAGAGATCGCAGGGATTTAAGCAGCTATAGATATTGCAGCAAATGAAAATGGACGGCATGGTTCCACGGGGCCTGAGAAACCGCAACTATTTGACATAAAATGAAAACAAAGCAGTAAGAGAAAGTACCTGGATGCGACAGCTTTCTTCTGCTTTTCTGTTACAGGGTCCAGCCAGGCTACTAGCACGGACTGGGACGACATCACTCGGACGCTGATGTCTTGGGGCACGTCCAGCTCATCCTCTTCTGGAATGACAAGGCGATTCAGAGAAAGGTTACCACTTGGGAAAGACTCTGCTCTGAGTGTCTGTGTCTTCCAAGTCTACTCCCCGTCCACACGCTTCTGAAACACGCTTCAGGTAGGAACAAGGAAATGAATAGAAAGGTAAGCGATTCTTTGGCTGGCCAGGGTTGAGGAGTGAATCTTAAACCCACTCTAAGAAATGGGCAGTTTGTTTCCCTTGGTCAAGGACACGCTGGGAGATGCTACGATCTTTGGGAGCGGCAGAAGTTTATCATGGAAAGGCATTTGGGGTGGGGGAGTTATAACAGGCATGAAATGACTATGTGGTTCAACCCATACTAAGAGTCAGGTTGGGATGAATGCCTTTGGATTTTAGAATCTGCGACTCCAAGGAAGATTAAGATTTACATTCAGGGGGAAAAAAAGATTTACATTCAGATATGAAATAACTTAAATTTGACAATTTCTTAAGAGGTTTATCTGTATCATCCCTAGGACATCACAGACACCACACTTGCTGTGTTTGTTCAGTCTCCCCCC